CACTAAAAGGACTGCGCGTCTGTCCTCCCTGATCCGTCTGATGAGCTGAGGGAGCAGTGCGACTAGAGGGAAAAAGTATAGGGGAAGGCTGGGCCATCCGTGGGCCAGCGCGTCCCTGTCCCTCGAGAACTATATTGGGCAGTGAGAGTTGTATTCGGAGGCGAAGAGGTCAACCTCTGCCTTCCCGAAAATACTCCAGATCATACGAACCATCTGGGGGTGATGTGCCCACTCTCCCGAGGACACGTTGCCCCGGGATGGCTTGTCTGCTCCTTGGTTCAATCTGCCCAGCACGTACGCCAATCTCAGTGATCGCAGGTTTGGTTGTGCCTATAATAGGAGGCGTCTCACCAGTTTGTGTAGAGGCCTCGATCTGAGTCCACCTTGGTGGTTTATGTAGGACACCACTGCCATGTTGTTCTTTCTGTCTCAGAGGGGAGAGGGCCACGTCCATGCACTTCGTCCATACACGTGTGTGGAGCTAGAGACATTCTCGAACGCGAATCTCAAGAATGGTCTGTGATGGGGGGCTATCTGGATATGAAAGTATGCGTCTTTCAGATCCACTGAGAAAAACCAATCCCCTGGGCACACTTGTGAGAGGATTTGTTTCAATGTTAACATCTTGAATGGCCATTTCATAAGGGCGCAGTTCAGATTAATGAGGTCGAGGATGGGCCGCCATCCTTCTTTGGACTGAGGAAGTAGCGGCTGTAAAAGCCTGACTTGCTGTGGGTCGTAGGAACGGATTCTACAGCTCCTTTCACTAGCAATTCCATCACTTCAGTGCGGAGGACATGAGCCACATTGCTCCTAACAGAGGTGGTGACCACACCCCTGAAAGCGGAGAGGCCTGTGAGCGAATTCCAGCGAGCAACCTCGTTTTACTGTGTTCAACACCCTGAGCCAACCCTGTGTTCAACACCCTGAGCCAGTCTGAGTTGAAGTCATTCGAGCGACAGCCCGCTGTGCCAGGGGCTGGCGTTCGTGGTAACTGGAAGAGAAAAATAGCTCTCTTTTTGAAAATGTTTGTTTTTTATTTTGTTCCCTATAACAGCAGTCAGTTGCATGGAGCGTGAACATGAACGGGCCAATGCTTGCAACAAACACATTGCTTCCAACACCAGGAACTGAATGGAGGGTTGGGAGGCAAACTCGAGGCTGTTTAGGGGGTGGTCTGGCCGCAGCGAGACTTAGCCCCTTCCTCTCCATTTTTCTTGAAGGATAAGGACGGCATCTGAGGCACAGAATCCAGCGTTATCTTAGGCCGGGACCTTGGCACTTCGGAAAGGGGTAGCATTTGGCAGAGCGGGAACGCTGTTGAGGCTCAGGCTCTGGTTTGGGCTGAGTGGTTGGAGGCGTAGGCTTTGCGGGCTGCTGAGTCAGCACATTCTTCTGGCGCCTTGAAGCAGCTGCAGAACTGGAGGGGTTGGGCAGGAAGTGTTGCAGAGCCTGCGACATCTTCTGTGCAGCAGTGAAGCGCTCGGCGAAACCGTCCACCGCCTCAATGAACGCAGCTTCTGCATGGGATTTCCCCAGACAGGCGACGCACTCACTGTGCTCGTCAGATACCTGCAGGGGAGCCCTGCACGAGTCACACTTATGGCGCAGCATTTGCAACAACGCCGCTGGAAATTTGCTCTGAATTTGCTCTTTTAGACTCGGCGGATAGCCACAGGGGAGATCGCTGAATCATGCAGTGCGTCAATCTGCTTGCTTGCATAGCGGCAAACTCTGAGTCAACTTGATCCACTGCTGGGCTTCTTCAGACGGCGAGAAGGCTTCTTCAGTCTCGAAGTGTCAGCGAAGAGAAGATGATCGTCGCTGAAGGAGAATTAATCTGATTCCATATGACAGAATGCCAGCTTATATAGAGGGATAGCCCCGCCCATTTCGGCTGGCTCTGGAGGGCTTTCTCCCCACAGGTTCATGCAGCTCTGCTGCTCAGCCATTGATTCAGTTTCACTGCGTTATTCTATTATCTTCAGTAATCTGAGAAAAAGGAGTTTCCGATTGTGTCTAGCGACGCAGTACGAGTGAACCATTTCCGAAAAGGGAGCCAATATTTTTCTTCAGCAAGGATGCATTATAATGATTAAAAGTGATAGTAAGGAGATTTATAATATTACAAAATATTTATCTGTATATATATATATATATATATATATATATTGTAATTTAAGTTGTAATAATAATAATTCACAATATTACTGTTTTTACTGTATTTTTAATAAGATAAATGCAGCCTTGGAGAAAAACAAAATCTTACCGACCCTCATTTTTTAGCGGTAGTGTTTCCTTATATAAAAAAGAGGTTTTTACGGCCATTTTAAAGAATTTTTTTTGTACCTGACAGGAGATCCTTGGCCCATTCCTGAGGTTAGCTGTACCAGTCACCCCATTTTTGCTCTCGGCTGTATACTGATAAACATATTTTCTGAGGTTTTTGAACCTTGCAGACACTTGAAAAGAAAAAAAGCATTCAGTAATTGTCATTATAATGTCAGTGATAAAAAATAACTATATTGGAATTATTTCACAATTGTCTGGTTTCACATGCTCAGTGTTTATGATGACTTCTGCAGTATTTCAGAGTCAGTTTTAAGTAATCAGATGAACAGAAGACCTTTGGACCATTTGCTGACAGAGTGGCACCTCTCTGATTCAATATTCTTGACGCATACACATGTAACATGTACCAGGGTTCAGTGCTGCTATCTTCTGCAGCCGATAGTAACACAGTTGGTCAGACTAAAGAAACTCATCCTGATTGGTTGCAGATAGAATAATATATGTCACAACTAACTAACTAAGTTAATCAGCATGTTGTGTATTGGTTCCTCCTTACATGGGCATATGGATGGTTGTTCTTCTCCACTGTCTTCCTCAACTACCTCAGCATATGCTTCTACAGAGACAGATAAAAAGTAGTAGCTGAATAAATTAAATCAACTTTATATAGCAAAACACAGCAAATCTCAGTAAACAATAACTACAGAGTTCTTCTAAGAAAGGAGGACAGAAAAACAGATAAAACTTAAATGTAAAAACAGTGAACATATCTCTAGACTTCAATTCAAACACTGCAATATATTAAACTTTGTATAATCTGTTTTCATAATAATTACTAGAAACTTTCTTTAGAAATTTGAGTAAGAAAAAGATCTATTAATGCAAATAAGAATAACAATAGGATGACAAATAAGAAAAAAAGGGGAATCTGGGAAATAGGTGTTAAAACAGGGGAAGATGTAGATAGCACAAACAGAGTACAAATGTATAGTCAAAACTTTGAGTAATAAATAAAAATCTTACCTGCAAATAAATGTGCACTGAGGAGGAGTAATAGACACAACTTAGTGTCCATCTTTATGGTCACTAAAAACTCTTTCTTTCTTTGTTTTTTCACTAACTTCTCTTAAATATTCCCACCCAGCAGAACCTTTATAGCATGCCTCCCACCCCCAAAGCCTCCAACTGAAACCTCCTCCAATCAGTCAAAAGACCACAAAATGACAACTCTGACTTGTCATAGTTCATGAATATATTCTATTTGAGAACACAGGGAGAATACATGAAAAACATGATGAATAAATATGTTTATAAATGCAGTGCATCTTTTTTTGTCTATAAACATAAAACACAAGTGTGTATGTATGTATGTATATATATATATATGAAATTTTAATTTAACCTGAGTGAAATTAAAATTTTACAGGTTTAAGTGGTTGATTGTTCATGACCAAGTAAATTTTAATTGAGAATTTCTGGAGTCTTCACCCACTGTTCCCTAACTTTCTGACTAGGCCTGTGTATTTACCTACTATTTTAAAGGGTATAGTATTTCATAATGCCTGATTCACAGATCTAATCAATATGTTAATTGATGTATAGTCCAAGCTGATATGGTAACATGTAAAGTAACCTTCATTGTTACTAAGAGGGTTGCATAATATTCACAATCCTCTTTTTGACAGTGGATTACAAAATTGTTTTTTTTTTAAGCAACAAAAAAAGTATTTTACAAGCTTAAAAAACTAATCAAATAGCAAAGTTTTTGTCACAAACTCACAATGCACATGATAATATGTGCATTCGCACATATAGTAAACCAGTAGTTGGCATATACATATATATATATATATATATATTATATATATGTGACCACAAAACCAGTCACATGGGTCAAATTTTTGAAATTGAGATTTATACATCATCTGAATGCTGAATAAATAAGCTTTCCATTGATGTATGGATAAGATACATTTTTTTTTTTGTCAAAGTCTGTTTAAGAGCTTTGCTCTGATGTTTGCAATAACAGAAAAATAAATAAATGTATTTAAAACGCATTTATCAGTTTATATTAACTGTTAACATTGTGACTTTTAATAAAGTCAATATTTATTAATAATGCATGCAACAAAATGTAAAGATTTTCATACCAAAACCTGAAATGAATGAAATAATAACCTAACCATATACTTGGCCTGGCAGACTAAAATATTGTATATTCCTTTAAGGTAAGGAATGGAGCATATTTTCCTGCTCAAACTGCAAGTGTCTTATCTGTAAACTGCATAAATCAATGGGTGATCACAATGTCCAAAGCATGGAGCAGTCAGAGATGATGAAGGTAACAGCCAGGAAAAGTTTGTATTCTTCTTCTTCTTCTTCTTTTATTATGTAATGTTTCAGTGCATGATAGGTCAATAAAAAGAAAAGGCTTTTTTTTGATTGTTTGACAAAATCAAACAATCCACCATTGCCTCTCACAGGCTAAACCACATATCAAGCTGGACTTTGTTTCAGTAGGCCCATAGGCTACTATTTAATTTAAAGTCACCAAATGTTGTAATTATTAAATTATATTTCATGTTACATAATAAGACTTCAGGGTAGTGTAGGTTATAACACTTACTGAATACCAACTTCAAAAACAAAAGTGATACTTTACTCACATGACATAACCTCAGGTTCGCTGAACAGCGCATGCGTTGAACTATTGCGGTCGAAGTTCAGTGAACTTCGCACCTGACAGAGTAGCCTATTCATCAGCTGGTTCCGATGGACAGTGTATTTTAGATGCGAAGAAAATGTCTCGAAACCGTGTCAAGTTCAAGCGGAAATCAAAACATAGAAAGGAGGATAGTTCTAAAATTGTTCCTATTAAAGACGCTCAATCAGCCGTGGAAGGAATCAAGACTCTGGAATCAACGAGGTGCGCGAGCAAGAAAGAAAAGTCCGCCAAACAAGTGCACATCGCTTTTCTACCGGAGAAATACCAACCGCTGGTTGAGGATGATATTGACCAACCACGAGATGACAATATCACGAAAAAACAAGACAAATATAAAAAGTTCAGAAAAGTACGTTGTTAACTGTCAAAGTTCGTTTGTCTGATGATCATGATTGTTTATGACGGTAAAAGGCTATACTGATTTAAAGGGATAGTTCCCCAAACATGAAAATTATTATATAGCCTACTCACCCTCAATTTGTTCCATACTTGTATGAATTTATTTCCTCTGCTGAATGTGGTTAACCAAACAGTTGTGGGGCACCATTAACTTAGTTATTGTTTTTTTTTTTTCATATGGAAGTCAATGCATGGGGTCCATCAGCTGTTTGTTAGTTGTTAGTTTGTAAACTGTCCCATTGTTTTCAAAATATCCTATCTTCAACTGAAGATATAAATTGATATAGTTTCTCTCAATAAAAAGTTTGGAAACAAGCTGCTTTATCATCATTACAAAAGAAGTAGAGTAAGTACTGTATACATGGGTGGGACTTTGAATATTGTATTGGTTTATTCATCTCTGTTCGCCCACCCTTTTTTTTTTTGCAGAATGTGGGAAAAGCTCTTCGCTACACCTGGAAGTGTCTAGTGGTTGGACTGCAGAATTTGAGCACGGCTTATTCTATGCCACTGGGTGCCGCTACCACAATAGTACCAGAGATCCACAGAGCCAGATCTCACGTCTAACACATGACTCAAGATCAGGTGGTTACATTATGAGTAGCACAGTGGTCAGTGTTGGATCCCCATTTTTACTGCAGCCCCTTCCACATTAGTGGAAGTGCAAAAGGTGTATTTTTATTTATGTGCCACTGTTATCAAAAGAGATGGCAAGGAAGAGACTACATTGGTGAGATAATTTGCCTTTGATAAGAAAATACTGAGTAGAGGCTGTGATGGACTGCGATTAATTAATGCACATATTTTTCTGATAATGCACAACATTAAAACATTTAACTTTACAGGCTTAGGCCAAACATGTTTACCAAACAAAGAAGTTCTTGATCTTTGATATGATGGATACAGTATAGAATAATGGTATTGTGGATGTTAAGCCAGTGGAGTGCATTTATTTAGTGCTCTCAATGAGAAGACAGACAGGAACGGATGTGGACTGAATAGTAATGCTGAACAGGTGGAACAAAGTGTGTTGTTTCTCAAGATTTAATTATTCTTAATTATTATGAATGTTGCTAGTACATTGTATAAGCTTAAATGTGATTCAACAGCACAGTTTGAACTATTCTGCTCTTTTTTTGTAATGTGAAGAAACACTCTTTTTTTTTAGCAGGATTTAGACTTTGGATTGAACAAAAATATTGTTATTAAATTAATGTTTATTCACAAATTGTACACATGAATTGAATAAGAATAAATTGGACAATTGCTTGCTAATATTGCTAAAACTATTTCAAGCCTGAAATTAACTTCCATTTGTTCACCAATAGGTGACAGCATTGTGTAGGACAACAGAAATTAATACATTTACCCCTGGGGCCTGTACCATGAAGCCGGTTGGTGGCTAGCCAGCTATGTTTCAGCTTAGTTTCCGCCAACCCTGGGTTTTAGGTACTATGAAAGTAGCTCGGCTTTGATCGGTGTTCGTTGCCATGGTACCTTACGCTGCACGGCTAACCTGCTCCGGGGCAGGTTAAGTTCTGGATTCGAGATCTCAGACTGAAGTTTGACCAATCAGCTGTGAGCAAAGAAACATATAGGTGACGTAACTAATTCCCAGTGTTTGTTGCAATGGCTTTACATTTTCTTTCAAATCCTGTGGACATCTCAGCGCAAATTGTTTGACGAGCACATCGTAGAGAAAGAGTTTGTGTATGAAAGATACAGATTTTCTGCGGAAGGAATATCTTATCTTTGCGAACTTCTTGAGCCGCACATAAATAATTTAACACATCGAATTCATGCACTTACTGTACCATAAATGGTATTGCGTTGCGTTTTTTTGCAAGTGGTAGCCTACATACTTGCACGATCGGTGATGCACATAATCTAGGGGAAAACACAGTTTGTAAAACCATTCGCAAGGTGGTCCTCGCTTTGCAGGAGTACATTAATAGTTTAATAGTGTTCCCCAGACATTTATTGACCATGTCATAAGAGAGGGTTTTTAAAAATTGCTGGTAAAATATATTGATAGGGTGACATCACGTTTTTTGTTTTTTTTTTCAAAAAGCAAATTTCACAAATGTACTATATAATACAGTACATGTTAAGCATTATTTTAATCTCATGATAGGATTCCCTATAGAGTCATTGGAGCAATAGCCTGCACACATGTTGCAATCTCCACTTCTCTAGGAGAACATGAGGCAGATTATGTTAATAGAAAGTCTTTTCACAGCCTTACTGTTCAGGTAGAGATTATGTGAACATGTGAAATTATTATTTTCTGTGAGATGAATCTTTAAATTAATAGTAAAATTAACAGATAACAATCTACTTTCCGTGAGTGTGTTGTGTCAGCGCTTTAAGGAAAGCTAGTTAAATTTGGTACAGTACAAAACACTGTTAATTTGAATTGGGACAGCAAAACCTACACAATAACCCCCTATCATGACCCTCATGTGTCAGTAAAACCATAGTAAAAGTTAGAGATGATCTTTGGCATCCTAAAGGCACGTTTCAACTGTCTTCGGCGCTTAAGAGTCACCACAGTGGGCATCACAGATCGTGTCTGCATGTGCCATTCTGCACAATATAGCCACCATAGAAAGGAGCCAGAACCACCACAGAAAGCTTCTCCCCGATGAAGAGAAAGAAAGCAATAGAAAGTTGCATTAATAAATATTCATGCTAAAGTGTTACTTGGTTAAATAAGTTCACATGAGATCAGTTTAATCTAGCTGTTGCATTTATTTTTTAAATGTGGAGCCTCCTCAGCTCACAGTCAGGCTCCTTTAGTGTGCAGTCTAGCTCCATAGGCTCCTTTAGTGTGCAGTCTAGCTCCATAGGCTCCTTTAGTGTGCAGTCTAGCTCTATAGGCTCCTTTAGTGTGCAGTCTAGCTCTATAGGCTCCTTTAGTGTGCAGTCTAGCTCCATAGGCTCCTTTAGTGTGCAGTCTAGCTCTATAGGCTCCTTTAGTGTGCAGTCTAGCTCTATATGCTCCTTTAGTGTGTAGTCTAGCTCTATAGGCTCCTTTAGTGTGCAGTCTAGCTCCATAGGCTCCTTTTGTAAAGGGCCCTGACTGAGTCTGTTTCCACCTGAAACATAATTCCACCACAAACATGATCATTACAAGTTTTTGGGAGGCTATTCAACTCACAAAAAGTTCCTTGAAAAACACCTGTTATATATGTCAAGGGTTTTAAATCCTTACCTTGTTCACATTTCTTTTGAAGCCTGTTGAGGTAGAGGCTTCAGTTTCTGGGACAGGTTGTGAAAAATCCTACAATAAAAGAGATGTGTAACTTGGGCCAGTCCCTGTTTTATGCCACACATTCAAATGTTTGCCTTAATAAAAAGCCCAGTGCATTCACCTCAGCAACTGTCCCAGAACACAGACAGAGTGTCTTCCTCATTTCCTCCTCCCTGATAAATAAAAGTAGGCCAATATGTTTCTGGTGTTCTGTCTGCTGCATACTGACCTGTGTGGGAGACTGTGTGTGTGTGCTGGCTTCAACAGGGGCACCGCATTTCCCTCGACTGCAGAGACTTACAGTCAGCCATATTTAAAACTTGAAATAGTAATGTATCACACACGTACCCAGTGTTACTTGCTTCGAGGAGCCGGCACCAGGGTCAGATTGTACAGCACCTGTAATCCCATCCATAATTGGCCGTCCCTTATTCCTATCAGAGCCAACTCAGTGTATTCTGGAGGAGTGGCCCTCCACTGGTTTTCTGAATGTCACTCTTTTTTTGGTTTGCCTCAAACAAGTGTTAATAAAAATAAATAAAAAAGGTTGTGTGTAAATACTTACTAGTATACTTTGAATTATATTTTTATATTTTGTCTTTATCAGCTGCCAAGAACGTTTGGAGTTGCATCTAAAAATCAATGAATATTAATCTTTATTAGTATATACATGCACATTTTTTTTTATATTATAAAAATATAGGCTATATTTCACACACACATACATTCATAGCCTATATATACATCATTTTACATGAATAAAGAACGTATTTATTTAGCTTACACATTAACACAATCAGCAATCTTTCTCCAACAATCTTCTCTTGCTTTGGCAGCAGAGACCGTATTGTTTCGAGCTTGTAATACATATTTAAATTCATCGTAATTCTGAATGATTATCTCTTACCTCCGCGGAAAGAAAATATCACTCTCGCTCTATCCATATCGAACGCGATTGGTTGTTCGGTGCCAACGTCACTTTGGTATGTGCACGCGCTCGTGGAGTAATCATAGCTTAAGATCAAAGCCTGAGTTGACAGAGAAAGTTGATGAGCTGCTTCATGGTACCAATAAAGCCTGATTGCATCGGTTTGGTTTTGTCAACTCAAAACTAATCCTGTAACTCCGAGTTTGTTCAGCTACCTTCATGGTACAGGCCCCTGGTTTCACAGACCAGACTCAACACTCAAGCCTAGTCTCAGACTAAAATACATGTTTGAGCTGTTTTAACTGCAGCTAAAAAACTTGCAGAAAATATGTCAGTGACATTGTTTTATCTCAAGATGCACACTAGTAATGTTTTTTTCTAAGGCACGTTTATAAAAGCTACTTAAATGTCCTAATTGAACTAAGGCCTAATCCTAAACCCTGTCTGTGAAACCAGGCCTTAGATATAGATACAGATAGACATAGATAGACAGACAAACAGAATATTATCTATGTACACTGAAGAAAAGTTTATATATAGCAGGGCCGTAACGAGCATAGATATTGAATAATTATAAATGGAAATGGCCAAATTGTCCCCACCCCCAAGTAGTTGACAAATAGTTTAAAGTTATATTTTTAGGCTGGTCTAAATCCGCTGTCTAACAGCGCTCGCCAATGTCAAAATGATTGAGATGGCAATGCAATTAAATCAAAGAAGCGGGTCTTACTGTTTGCAGAAGAAGAGTGTAGTTTTAATGGTAAAAGAGTGTATTGTAAGGTGCAAGTAGCTAAAAACATTAATATTTGACAACTGTTGATAGAAATGTTCAACCACCGACAGTAATATCCAGTGCAATTGTAACACGCTCGCTTAGCGGTCTTAGCACAGAATTAATTTCTATATCTCGGACCAGATTCAGAAGACTACTAAGTTCGAAAGCCTGTGTTGCAGCAAGACAGAGGGAAAGAACGACATGAAACAGATATAGTATAAAAAAAGGTAAGTATTTTTCTTTCTTTCCTTTTTACTTTGAAATGATTAGTTCAGATTAAGGGAAATAGGACAAAAAACAAGAAAACAACAAAAAGAAAACAATAGTTTCAAGGTAAATTACACGGGAAAAACCTTTAAAATAATTTCTGGAAATCAGTTTCACTCAAAACCAGGTGAATAGTTAACTTAATAACTCTGTTGACTCTTTTCAAAGGAAATTAGAAACAAATAACAAAATAGAAAATAATAAACAGTAGGACAATAGACTTCAATACTCAATGACACACTGAATAGTATCAGGATTGACTCAAATGAATAGATTTCAACTCAATGTTCAGTTCACTCGTTCAGTGTCCTTTATGAACTGCAAGGCAATTCAAAGTGAACAAATGAAATGGGAAACTCCTTCACTGATGCAACGATGTCCTTGAGGAAAAACAAAACACAAAGGCATACACGTGTGGTCCTACCACCTCGATGAACATGTATGGAAATGTCCAAGTTCAGAAAAACCAGGGCTGGCTCGCCAGTATCCACTAACAACTGAGCTGACCTCGTTGACGGCAGAGACAGATTTCAGCTCAAACTTCTCGTTCGATTCCACAAGTCATCACAACAGGAAATCGACATAAGGGAAAAG